AACTGATCTGGCAATTGGTTATCTCATATAATATGTCATAACCGTGCATTTGTTTGATCTTGTAGGCTTCTTTTTAGAACGGCATATTACTTTTCAAACGGACCATTCCTTAGGTTCTGGATTAGAAAAGGATTTGATCCTCGCAAAGACCGTGAATCCTGCATGTGAGAATTTCTACATTGATGAAATCTTATTGATGTTCAATCCATCTAAGCATTTCTTGTTGCTTGTTCCAACTTATACTCACAGTTTTTCTTTTTAGTTGCTTTTGGCCATCACAAAACTAGATTAGGTGTTTTTTACGATCAAATTTGCTGAATATAATATTTCTAGACTTTTGTTTGTGATCATGTATTCAGTTTGTGTTGATGAGGAAATGTGTAGTCTACTTCTAGGTTTCCAAAGGTAGGGGTGAAAAGAAGAGAAAAAAACCAAGATTAATGCTTTTAGGCTTCAATAACTTCCATGATATGGGTCGACTTTAAAGGAGAAACTAATCTACCAGCCTAAAAATCATGTTGTATCATTCTTGTTTGCAAAGTTATTTTTATATTTAGTTTAAAAACAAAAAAAAGAAGATAGTTTTGTCTTGACCAAAAAAAGAAGATAGTTATGATAGAGTTCCTAGAGAGATATTATGGAGGGTTTTAGAGAAGAAAAATGTTATTGTTTGGTATATTAGTGTTATTAAGGATATGTATGAAGATTTAGTGACAGGGGTTACAATCTATTGGTCGCCACTCCCCCTTTTTCCATGTCCTTAAAAAAAATGAATTGACTAGGCACATTCATGATGAGCTCCTATAGTGTATGTTATTTGTAAACGATATTGTACTAGTTGAAAGTAAAGAAGGAATTAATAATAAACTAGAAAAATGGCGAGAAGCACTAGAATTAAAGGATTGAGGATAAGTAAGACTAAAACTGAGTATATGGAATGTAATTTTAGTAAAAGAAGAAATCGAAATTAAAAAGTAGTAATGGGTGAGTTTTTTGGATTTAATGCTCCAAATTTCAATGGGTGGGTTGAAAGCGAGTAAAGTAGTTGAACACGAAACCGATTGATGTATTTAACAGTAGATTGCTCATTGAGGAGAAACAAATAATCACATGTTCTTACCTAGACAGGCTAGACTGGTACCTGTGTTACTAAATGCTTTGGAGTCTCTAATTCGATGTTGTTTACTTATTGAGATTTGCTGTAACAGATATCAGAGGATTGACTTTCGAGTACCACCATCGTTACGAAGCTACTGCGACACTAAAATAGCATCTGGGTATGATCTTTCATTAAGTTTACTTTTTCCATTTAGACAAAGATGTAAATTTATGTGATATGTGCTTTTGTCTTAAGGTTAAGAAAGCTTGAATATCTTTACTTTAAACATTTTGAATATTGGTCATAGATTCATAGTGCACTTGAACAGCAATATTATGAGACACATGCTTGGTTCTATTCCATTTGGCCTGTGGGCTGATACAGATACAAGATAACGGGCTATGGATACAATACGATACGGATACAACCATTGGAAAACCTAAGGAAATAGGATAAGAATACGTTCACTATACGTCTATAAAAGAATATATTTTGTATTTTTACTATTATTTGTCAACTTCATAGTTATAATTATTAGTGGTTTCTTTGATGACAATACAAAGAATAAGCTATGTCCACTTTTGTAGAATTATGGATTGTCTTATTATAGTATATCCATAAAGTGAACGTTATTAAGCAAAGGAATTAGAGCCAACATTTAACATTTTTTTTTCTAGAAGTACTCATTGTCAAGAGATAGTGTGATTAGCTCATTTTATACTCTTTTGGCATTTGATAGTAGATAATACTTCACAAACACCAATGTTCGACCAGATAGTTGTCGGTTGTGATTTATCCAAATATTTGTTTATTATTCGATACACGTAGTGTATATACGATATGTATCATCGAGTATTCGATAAGTATCATATCTGATACATATATGTCTTGTTCAGTTCCATCTAAGCTCAGTTTTGTTTGAATTGTTGTGGAAGAGGAAGAAGAAGAAGCGGTTCATCTACCTAAACGAAGTATTCAGGCTTCATAGCTTTTAAGTTCTAGGTATTTTCTAAGAATATTAGTGGAAACACATGAAACTGTAACACATGCACTTTGCATGGGCTGTTTATATGTTTTTTTTAATAAGAAATAACACTTTCATTTCATTGGAAGATATAAATGTACATAATTAATGGATAAGAAGTCCTCCAAAAAGAGTAAAAATTAAGAGAAGAAAACAAATATTATGGAGTACAAATGACTTTCCAATTGTGTTCGAGACCTAAGAGAGAAGTGTCATGAAAGTCGTTGGTAACAACAACCCATAAAAATTGCAAAAACTTCACTCTACCCCATAAAAATTCTTTATCCTCCTTTCATTCAAAGATTCTACATTTTCTCTCTATCCAAACCACCCAAAAAATTGCCAAGACCCTGCATTTCCATGAAGTTAAAGCTTTTTTGCCATTGCCAAAACCACCAAATCGCGTTACCAAAGGAGAAACAACATAAAAAGTGTGACCCATGCCAAATCCGCCTCTCACAAAATCTTATGCCACACAAAAATAGCTGAGACAATGAAGGAACAAATGATAAATACATTCACAACATTGCTTTTATATTACACACAGATGTGGAGAAATATAAGTGTTAGACCTTCTCTTTTGCAACAAGTCACAAACATTCACCTTACCCTAAGCTATTATTCAAGCAAGCACCTGCACCTATAACAATAACAAAGGATTTTAATTGGGATGGATGAGTTTGGAATACAGATGATAGTTAAAAAGAAGCTTTTTGACAAAGAGCTGGGAGTAAATCAATAAGTTGATTGCGAAAATTTGAAGACGTAGAAAGATGCTATGTACATACTCGAAGTACACAATTAAGGAAAAATGAGAGCTGTAAATGTTAAGTTCTCTGTCTGCTCAAATTTTTTCTTCTTTTCATCACATCCTCTTTGTTTTTCCATCTTCTGTCTTCTTCTTTTTTCTGTTGTGTAATTTGGCTACGGCTTATCCCTCTGCATTTATAATGAGGGCAGGTGTCACTTTCATTAGGGCTTTGGCTGGGCAGGAACTCTTTCAATTGTTCACTGGGATGGTTATTGATTTGATTTCTGCCTACTGAACATATCTTATTGTACCATAACCCTATTGATTTCTCCAACTTTGCTTTCCTTTTGTGTAGGTTGACGCATAGATGGGAGGATATTTGTGCATTCCGTGTTTTTCCTTATAAGTGCCAAATTTCATTACAGCTATTTGAACTTGTGGATGACTACATCCAACAAGAAATTAGAAAACCTTCGAACCAAGCTACTTGCAGTGTAAGAATCATATTGCTCCATGTTCAACATTTTTCTCCTTTTAAAAAAAAAGAACATGGTTTCTGAAAATGTGAAAATGAGAATTTGCATACCAATCCTCAACTTATAGCTTTTAGTGTATTGAGGCTCCATAATTGTTAGCCAATTTGATGTACTTGGGGACATGGGGTACTATGCGAATACGTTCTCTGCCAAAGTTTTTGAGAGCCCACCTGGGCAAGGCGAGCTGAGGTTGTTGCACCTCGCATTGTTTGGAGGGAAGTGTCTTAGGCACTTGAGGAGCTCGCCTCGGACCTGCACCCAGGAAGTGCCCCTTGCGCGCTTTGAGATTGTCTTTGTTTTCTTGTAGGAGTTAATGTGGGCTATTGATCTTTTAGACTGTATTTTTGTGTTTGATCGTTGATTTTCTATGATTTGATATGGGCCAGTGATCTTTTTTTGCTTTTAGTTAGTTTTTGAAGTGTCCAGGCACAGTATAACAAAACTCCTGAATGCATATTTATACAATCAAAGCAAACTGATCCTATTCTGTAGTCAGAAGTGCTAGATGATTTAGTTCCAATTTTACCTGATGTTTAAATTCTTATTAGTTTACAGTGTGCAACAGGCTGGTTCTCGTCACATGTGCTTGATAGTTTGCGATTACATGTTGCTGTGAGGTTCTTATCAGTGTACCCAAAGCCTGGTGCAGAGTCCTTGCTAAAATCTGCTTCAGCTCGCTTTGAAAAGTCAAAGAGAGTGCGCATTCCTGCAAAGGATTCAAGACCTGATGTAAAAAGGCAGCAAGTCAATAAAGGTTCAAGTTAACTATCAGAACTATAACTTTCAAAATTTGTCAATAAGATTTTGCTATGCTTTTTTTTTTTTTTTTTGGGCAATTTGAGTCTCAATCAACTGACATTAGTGTGAATAATTAGGTAAATATTATTTATAATGTTTGAATGGTTCCAAATAAATTAGTCCAAATAGCTTGCTAGTTGCCGCTAAATTCTATTGTATGTTTCTTTCACTTAATGTACTCAAGTAGTCATCATTTAGAGTATCATCAAACCAATTTGTGCAGAGATTGTGGATAATGAAGACAAAGAAGCCAATGATGATGAAGAAGATGAACAAGATGAAATTGAGGATGATAATATTGAAGAGGCAGATGTATACGAGGCACTTGACTTGGTAAAGCCACATCTACTTTATGTTCCAATGCGTTTATTCAAAAATTATAGTGTTAGTTCTTTTTTGTTTTCAAGTCTGTCTTATTTTATCCTTTTAATTTCCCTTTCCCATTTCTTGTTTGTAGGCTGGCGAGGATGGAAAGTTTACTCTACAACCATGTTCATGTATCCTTGCAACATACCCTTTTGTTATTATGTTCTTATTAAAAAGTCCCCAATGTGAAAAATGCTGGTCAAACTTTCAAACAACTGTCACAAATTTCAACTGGAAGGCAGTTCACAATTAAAATGTAATCTAATCAAGAGATATCATGTGGTCAGGCTTCATTTTTGTTGGAGGGGCCACATTAGGATTACTCTGATGGCAATCACCAGTAGAGTATCGCACCATTTGAGCTGAGCCCATGAATAAGTGTAAGCATTATCTGTCTTCGATATTTTCTTTGTTTTGATGTACCGGAAAAAAGTTGAGGAAATAGAGATGGAGAAATGTTTGTGACAGATATACTACCCTCTAGGTAGGCCTGCAAAAAAAGTGGCGGCGATGAGTTTGCCCTTCAAATAGAGTTCTAGACCTTTTGGACAACCTTAGGAAAGCTATGGGCATGGAGTTCCCTCATTGCTCTACCGATGGTGATTGTTGGTGGTGGATTTCATGATAGAGAGAGCACTTTTATTGGCCTTGAGCTTTTCTCATGGCTGTGGTGGAGGGAACAGATATCACTTGTCTCGAATGTTTTTTTTTTTTATAAATTCTGGGTGTATATGCTATCGGAGTTTGGAGGATTCCTCACCCATCATCTCTCTTTCCTTTATTTCTACTGAATTAGGTTTTAGCTTTTGGTTTCTTACCAATAAGATGATGTTTATGCCTCGTTTTTCGCAATCAGAATTCCTATATGTTGATCAGATACAGCCCATGGGAACATATCACAAAACTACTTGCAAGAACTTTTTGGTAGTTTTCCATTTCATGGACCAGGTAGCAATGAATTGCAAGATGCTGAAACCAGTGATGAGGATTATCAGATATATGAACACTATAGTGATGACAACTACACTGATGACAACGAGTAACTACAGATTCTCAGCTTCAGAAGAAGTTTCAGTTATGCTGCTAGTACAAAGGGTGAGTTTGACTCAATAAGCTGGCGGTTTATAGAATTAGTTGGCTGGTTGAGGTGCACGTAAGTTGGTTCTTATACTTCTGACTATAATACCCAAAAAAAAAAAACTAGTCGTCTGACTGGCTGGCTATCTTTATTTTCTGCGAAATGTCACGTAGATAGTTTTCCTCTAATCCTCCATGAGAAGGTTGTAGGTTTATATAGCTTAGGTTGGGAAAAGTTGTTGGGTATCTGTGGTTTTAAATTATATATTTTTATGTATCCAAACAAAAATTATAGGTTTACATATTTATTTCTTAGTTTGGGAATTTGTATGAGTTTGAGCAGCCGGGGTCTCTTGTTTCATTTGCATGCCATGTTAAACCCTTAATTTCTTTTTTTTTTTTTTTCTAAATTCTTTAATGCTCTCGTGCGCAAATTCGCGCTCTGAGAGCTATTTCTCTATGAACTAATGCTCTCATTTGGCGATTGGCATCCCTACAAAAAGACAAGAATAAATGGGAAATGAGCTTATTTATAAATTAGACTTGTCATTTTTCCTAATTTTGATCATGCAACTCCAATTAGTAGCTAGAAGAGAGGGGTGGGCTTTAGCATAGAAGTTGATGTGTTTCATTGTGACTTAGGTTACGTATAATCTGATTCTCTTCCCCAAGTTTTATAGTGGTGAAAATCTCGTACATCGTGTTGTTTTCTTATCTTTTTTAGTTAAACTCCAGTCAATAGCCATTGCTCACTACCTATTGTACAAGTTTTACACATCACATTGCAGTGTCATATAAAAAAGTGTATATGCCCGATGAATCATTGTTGCTTGTCATAAATTTTTTTGAAAAAGTCAATTCATATGGCCCCCAACTTTTCATTAGGTGTGCATAAACATGACAATGTCATTGCGTGGTAAATAGACCCTATTGTTTTTTCTCATCACCCGTTCAACTCTCTTGCCTTTGAAGTTTCTGTGCCAACATAAATTTATATACCAATTCGATTGTGTTTGCTTCTTTGAAACTTTAAAGGCCCTTCTTCTTGAAGGTTATCTTTTTTTCCAGTTATAGAAAGGTTATTCTTAGAATTCTTTTCTTTTATTTCATGTTTGGGTTAATCTCATTTTGTACTGTAAAAGATGCTCTAATTTTTAATTTGCATCATTAAAAAATTAGATTCTCAAATTGTATCCTCAATATTATAAAACAGATGTAATGTAGTACGATTCAAGGGTGAAATTTAAAACTGAGGATGCAATTTGAGCTTGAAATTGGATCACGTTGCACTTGGTTTTATAACATTGAGGATGTATTGAGAATTTAATTCTTTGAAGGGTATAAATTGAGAATTGATGCATCTTTTAAGGTGCGAAATGAAATTAGTCCTTTTTGTTTCTTTATTCGAATTCAGCTTATATTCGACTCGTATAGGACTTAATTCAAGCTCGTTTTAGATTCTAAACAAATCAAAGTTTAAACAACTTTTTTAGATTCATTTAAAAAAAAAAAACCTAAAAAACTCAATTCGGGCTCAACTCATTTTGGTTCAATTCAGGCTCGACTCATTTTATAAATGAGTTGAATTTAAGTAATTTTTTTAACTCATTTAGAAAAATAAACTCGACTGATTCAACTTAATTATCAATCTTAATTCTAATCATACTTGGAGTTTTTACCATTTGGTATATCTCGGTACAATGAGGATTTTTCATTACAGAAACATTGCGACAACTTTTTGTGGAAATTGTCATCTTTTGTCTCCCTTCGTCCAAATGCTTGATGCTAAAACCAAGGTAAAATGTATAAATACTGAAAAGTAATTTGAGTTACTAATTCAGTATTAAATTAAACCTCATGGGCTGAAGGGTGCTCTTGGATGTTCAACATAGTAAGAAAAAATGGATCGTCATCTCGTAGCACCACCACAACACCGATCAGATGTTCAAAGTGTCCCCTGTGCACGCGCATGATTTCAACATCAGAAAACCTCAGCTCAGAATCAGATTCTTCACTTTAGTTTTAGATATTGAAACAACCCAAAAAATAAAAGTTGAAAGGGAGTACAAAACGTCTAAACCTATGGGCCAAGTTAGATTGGGAGGCCACTGTCTCGAGATCTCAATTTCAAGTCTAATAGATCGATAACTGGACACATCCAAACTTTACAATATAGCAACAAATACCAAATACTCAGCTAATAACAACCAAACAAACAAAAAGTAGATACAAAGCTTCTACCTTCAGAAGAGATCAACAGGAGAAAGATAGAATACTTTCCTTCGGTGGTTTAGGATCCAAAACCAATCCTCGCATGCAAAGCATATCCCACCTTGCTTGCCTTCCCATCCCTATTTACAGCCTATCAACAACCTCAACAAGCCGTCCTCCTTCCTGTGCTTTTCCTTCAAATAAAACCAACACATGACACCATAAGAAGCCATTGCTGCTCTGCAGGAACTTTCAGAATAGGTGCTGTTTCAAAGAATGGATAGTTTGATAAGGCAAATGAGGTAAATATAGCCTTTAATCTTGTACACAGTAAGCAAACCCATGCATGCACATAGGCAGACATAATCAGAATTGCATACACAAAAACTGACAAAAAAAAAAGGAGTGTGTCATTTCAATTTATGCAATTTTAAACAATTCTCGTAGGTTTTACCACAACAAATTCTTCAACTGTTGTAATAAATTGCATCAATGGTTTCTTAGTCAGAATCATTTATGACAAAATCCTTGTCCAGCTAGTTTCATACTCAATTTAGGGCTAGGCCGGTAGGGAAGGATATTCTTGACCAGGTTTCAATCTGGGTTGGAGCTTCAGGCCTCCCTCCGCAATTTTTTCAAGTTTTCACTTGTTAAAGAAAAAAAAATATATGAATAATATTCCAGAAACTAGCACAGTGGGAACAATGCTATGGGAATTTAACAAAAAGTCAGGCATGGAGCAATAAAGCAAATTACATGATCAGCCATGTATATAAGTTCCTGAAAAAGAAAAAGAACAGAATGTTTATTACCTGATGGTGTTATGTCTATATCCTCTAAATCTGTACTTAAGACCACAGACCATTCCTGTTAGGGCGAGATATTCTCACAGAGAACAGGAAACCAAAGAGGTGGTTGCCAGCATCGAAGAAAGAAGAATACTGCCCCAAAAAACTCAATCGTTCAAAGGAGGTACACTAATACTTTTTCATGCGATGCTTCTCCTAGGGATGGGTGGGCTTTTTCTTTTGTTGGTCTGTGTTTGTGAAAGAGGAGGGGGAAGCTTGTTAGAATGTAACTCAAATTAATTTTCAAAAAATAGATTTAATAAAATAAAAGCTAAATTCAACAAGAGTTGCATCCTTAATTGTCATATAAATATCCGTCACAAGTCTCTCTTCCCATCGGTGTGATATATAGATGAAGCAATTAAAACAAACCATGATGCTAAGTTTTGCAGAGAGGAATAAAAGTCCGAACTGGCTCCAGAGACGGTTTTCTGGACAAACAGGCCGGGATTATGATATCAGTGATAGTGTCGAGTACCCAACAGCAGTTGCAGCAGCTGCATTTGCAGTTAAATTGCTTGAAGAATCAAACATCCCAGATCAGAGAAAGACTGGTGGGGGCCTTGATACCTCCATGACCAAGACCAAGAGTAAATCAGAAGAAATAACTCATGCATCAGAATCTCGTCGGCGATCCAGAAGATTCTCAGGTAAGAATGCAAGTGAATAAAAATAATTTCCAAAACAATTTTAGAACAGTTATATGAGATTTCAATACCAGTTCTTGCATGAATTTGGATGAAATACCAGATGACGTTTCAATGAAAAATTTGGATGTTCCAGATGATAGGGGGCAAAAAACCATAGCCACGGATGGGAAGATGCCTGAAAAGTCCGTTGGCCCTGCCCCATCCATCAGAAAGACACTAACTTTTGCAGATCAGCTCTCGAATGACAATGCTAATAAGAAACCTGAAAATGCAGAGCTCGGAACATCCATCTATCCTGCTCCAGCCATCAGAAAGACTCCAACTTTTGCAGATAAGCTATTTGACCGCACAGCCAGTAGAAAAACTGAAAGTCAAGTGCCAAACCCTGAACTTCCCTCCACCAAACAATCCACATTCTCACCAGCAGAAATCAAAAGGCAGAGTTCAACAAAACCTGGAGGTAATGAGTCTGAGGCAGATGCTTGGGAGAAAGCTGAGATGGCTAAGATCAAAGAAAAGTACGTTCTCATTTTGAGACTTTGTTTTTGTCAGCACAACAATGCGTCTATCCAAACTACTTTTAAGCTCAGTTGCATAAATCCTACTCCTCTCATATCCATCCAGCACCATATTGTCTAAGAAATCCCATCTCGTCATTCCAACCTGAATTCTTTCTAGTTTTCACCTAAATTCTGTATGTTCTATTATTATATTTGTCGCATATGGTTGAACAACCTAAAATTCCCTTCCATCTTTCCTTCTATCATCACTGACGGTGGCTCCCTAAGTCATAAATCTTGGCACATTACAACCATCTAAATGGACCAAGTACAATGTAATTCAATTGACATCAACCCCAACATATACACCTAATTCAAAATTCAGCTATAAGTTCTTCATCATAAATATCAAATCATATGTCATTCTCCCATTAATTTCAGGTATGAGAAGTTGGCTGCCAGAATTCTTGCATGGGAGAATGAGAGGAAGACAAAAGCCACAACCCGATTGAGTAAAACAGAGGTTTCATTTTCTTTTTATCGTAAAGCTTATGAAAGCATGAAATACTGATCAGCCAGAGCTGAAACTAACATAATCAAACTGCAGGCTGAATTAGACAGGAAAAGAGCAAAAGCCTTGCGACAATACCGCAGCAAGATCGAAAGCATTGATCATATTTCAGGAGGAGCGAGAGCACAAGCAGAGGAAAATCAAAGAAATGAAGAGTTCAAGGTGAAAGAGAAGGCAAACAAAATCAGATTGACAGGGAGATTCCCGGCTACATGTTTCTGCTTCTGATCCTCATCATACACTTGTAAAAACTTAGAATCTATAAAATTCTCCAATTGTAATCAACTCAAAAACCGAAATTCCTTTACATGATTCAGCATTGTATGTGGATGAGAAATCACTAAATTAACTACCTGGTACCATCAATTAAACCAAATAAATAAGTCCTATGGAAAGAGAAATGGGTTCAGATATTGAGCTGCCTATCAGGTACAAACCTTAGTCCATGCAATTTGGCAAATAATCACATGGTGCTTTCACTTATTGTGCCAGATATATTTTGGGGAGGCTGGGATATCAGAAAAGAAAGAAAAACATACAAAATATAGCTTATATAAATTGACATTGTGGGACACTCAGGTCGAAAGCACAATGTTTACACAACTGTTTAGGAATGACAATGAGAATATTGCACAGAGTTTTTGGAAAGTTGTCAAATAATATAATCTTCTAGTGCAGTAGTTCAAAAATATCGTAGAAACTTGCCCTTAACCAAACTTGTAGTGCAGTAAGAAAATTGCACTTAACCAAATGAATATACGTACCCATACAAAGAAATCATTGATTATGGAAGAAAGAGCAAGAGGTCAGATGCTTTTTCGGTTTATCACCGTTTGAATAAGAGCATCTGGCCCAAAAAGACGTTTAGATGATGCTAGTTTAGCAGATCTGAAAGCTATTTACTCTCCACCTCAAGGTTGGACCATGTAGATGTCCAACCTTGAGGTGAAAGAGGAAAGCTCATCTAAAAGGTACTTTTATATCGTTTTATTATATAGGTGTAAAATAGCTTTCTGGTCAAGTTAATAATTTTGAATCATCATAGCCACATGGGAATCAATCCTGCCTTCATCAGGTTAGGAAGGCTATGGGTGTGGGGTGGGCTACCCCACCTCGTATTGCCCATTGTCACGTTCAGACCAAAAAAGAAAACAATCAAGCACAGAAAACAAAACTATTAAATAGCCTTGGAGAATAACAAGTCCCCTCCATATACAAGATATTCTGCGAGTTCAATAGTCAACAAAAATTTATCATGAAATAGCATGTCCAGGGTGGGTCAGAAAACTACTTTCTGGATCCAATTCATGAACATCTGCATTGCTGAGGTCTGTAGAGAGAGAGAGAGAGAGCATAACAATCTTAAGATACTAATCTGGAGGGCATGCCCCACTTGAGAGGGGAAAAGTGATTTCAGCTACAAAGATATTGAAAATGTCATTCATAAACTAACTACAATTCAAATACATGATTGGATAAGCTGTACTTGGACCTCCTTAGGTTTGTCAAAGAACACGGAAAACCCTTATTTCAGAAAATTGGAAGAGGAAGACCACCTCTCTCACTGGAAAATATTACATTAGTAAAAATAATAACTAAAAATGTAACATTATCTCATTTTGTTCCTCGTTAGAACAAAACGAATCCTATTTCAAAATTAATCCTCATTTGAACAAATGAATCCTATATCCAAACACCACTCTGATGCAATGGCACAAAGAAACCTAGAAAGCGCTTTGCCAACTTTGAAAATTCCCTCAAATTCCACACTTAATATGAGCTACAAAGAAACATTTTAAATATATGTGTATACGTACAAAGGCATATAATCTCTTTTGTTCTCGGCCTCCTACACAATGCTAAACAAAACCCAACATAATGACCAATTTTGACCAAGGGTAAATAAGTCATTTCCTAGTAAAAAACTGGAAGTAGGGTTGTGGAGTTGTTATTGCCAAGTTGTTTTGACATAAATCAACTGGCCCGAATGAACTTGGCACTATAATATTTGAACTAACAGATGACATCTTCCTGTACGGTAAGGATCATTCTGGTAATTGGAAGCTTGGTTCCAGTGAAGCGGCAACAGATTAATAATCAAAATATGTATCGTTGTTGCAGCTAACCTTCAATTGAAAACTACAACAGTTTAGTCCAAAAGGGAAGAAATCTGCTCAAACATTGTCACATCTTAAATTTTAGAGTTACCCAAGGACTATGCTTGCAAAAGAAAAACTAACCAATTATGGCAAGCTAAGGTCCATAAGACAGTGCAATCAATGGAATCCAAATTTAAGAAGCTAAGACATGCCCAACTCATGAAACTCTTAGAAGTGCTCAAAAAAAATACCAAAGCCAGAAAAGGAGGGATTATCACTTCAATAAGACACAGATGATAATTGAAAATAAAAAGGGATCATCATTTCAATAAGGCAGATTGTATAACTGCAAGAAAAAGTCTTTAAAATACACTGTTACTAAGGCAAAGACGAGAGATATCGGAGACATAGAATTCTCTTACCAATTAAAAGGGAAATATTTCATGCAGTAGAATTCTCTTACCAGTTAAAAGTGAAAAGTTTCATGTAGTGATTTCTCTTGCCAGCCACTTCAAAAAAGGATATGCAAAGTACAATACCAAGAAAGCTGGCAGTGCAACGAGAACTGTAATTAGCAGGTACAGGGCTAGGATGGCAACACTGGAAAGTATAGCAAAAATAAAAATCAGAAGAAATAGGATAATCATTGGAAACTTGGCTGTAAACTGAAGGAAGAGATGCAGGGATTTGTGTAGGGAAAGATGGGGTCTCTCCAGAGTATGGTTATTGCTGATGCTGTCATGATCATTATTGATTGACCCCCAATGTCCAAGACGATGAACCCTCCTGTGGTTAGTGCTGCTAGAGTGATTTCTGAGAGCTGAAGTGTTCCTTGGAGACCAAACTGGTTGATGATCCCCACAAATGGAAGAATGAGGCTTCATTCTGTCACCATTCAAGTTCTCAATCATCCAGAGAAGGAAGAAATTCTTGCGAGGAAACTTGAGATTTCCCTCATAAACCATTCGCAACGTTAGCAAGTGACACCACGGGCAAGAAATGAAGAATGGAATCTGGACCCGTTGAGCATAGAATCTCAAAGCAGCACACTGAAGCCCTAGGACACAATTTTTGCAGAGTGTATGGCCACACCATAAGACATAAGGCACGTTCTCAACAATATTAAACGATTCCCAGCATATAGGGCATTCCAAACCTTCCTCAGTGCTTGCATCTGAGCAAATCTCATCATCCGAGAATCCTAGACAAGCTGTACTTGGCTCATTAGAGTTTTTCTTCCTTGCAATGGCATTTGAAACAAAACTCCACATGATGGCAGGGGACCAACTTGATGCACTAAACTGGCAGTTACTGCTAGAGTTCTGTAGTTAGAACCATAAAATGAGTATTACTCATGATTTCTTGTGCAAATACGTAACATATGCCCTCCTGGACGTCAAACTGAGCCTTAAATCAGTCTACTTCCCACGTCAATTGTCAATGGGTGTAGGTCCTCAAATAAAACCTGAAGCAAAAGGTACACGGTTAGGAAGCCAATTACCCATCATTGCATGAAATAGTGAACAAAATCCACAAATAAAAAGACAAAACAATAACTAAAGACACAAAAGTCTCATTTGGTTCACAGAGTTTTTATGTCTATTATATGAATTCTAATTAAAGTCAAGGTTGTCCATGCAGCAAAAGACAGAAAGAATCCAAGCATAAAGGCAATCCAAATACCAAACAACAAGCCCTACCAATAATTGTTACTACAAAAGGGTTTAGCATTCATAAAAAAAGACAAAAACCACTATACCTTCAATGGGTGTAAAACTCATCATTAAGCTAAAATTCATAGAACACATGACACAGTAAGACATGAAGATTCTAATGAAGTAGATGACTATGGTTGCAAGCAAAAAAAAACATAGATAAGTATAAGCCATCGAAAAGCAGGTAACTAAGTGCAGTGTGACTCAATGAGACTGTGGAAAGCTACCTGGCTCTCCAAAAGCTTTAGCCTGTGTATCACCACTAAATAAACACCTCAGTATTGCTCTGGCAATTTTGCCTCTGTAGATGCGACGAAAATAGCAAATACTAGTCCTTAGTCCTTACCATGAAAAGCAAGCCCAGAGTCAGATTAAAATATTCGCATCCTTTTTTCTTTTCATTCTTATGCCATTAATAATTTCCCTTTTTTGTTTTGGATTTCCTGTAATGTTAATAGCAGCTCGCTTATTGTAAAATACTATTGTATATGTTATCTGAAACCCATTTTTCGTTTATAATTTCAATGATTTTGCATGGAGTTCCCTGCGCTCTTGATTAACAACGACCAAACTTGGTTAATTAATCTTCGTAATTAAAATCACATTTCATTCCAGGCACTAAAAAGTCGATGATTACGATGAAATATAGGAGACATAAGTGAATTTTTTTTATTTTTTTTTGCAATTTTCCGCATTAATTAATTAACATTAAACAAGAAAATGACATACAGAACAACGAAAATTCATAGAGGAAGCAATGTTGATCGTAAACCTAGATTCTACATTCTTCATTAGCATCGTGATCGCCGCCTCATACGAGACATAAACATATATTGCATACACGCAGATACGCATTTCATGTATGTCGGGAATAGTGAGAATAACCCTTACTGTGGATTGAGGTAAGATTTCTACCGAACCGAACCACGTAAATCTTGTTTTTTCTCGATTTTCTTGATTCTTGATTGTTCACCATTATTGCACGGAAAATGGAGCAAATTACCAATTTGAGGAAAAAGCAATGCGGAGGAATCCAATTCAAATAGAATTAAGAACAGATTGATTTATGTGCATGATCATAAATAAAAATATTTATGCATGTATGTACATATTGCAGATCGTACCTGATATTCAAATCGCTGGATATTGAAGAAATCGGGAGAGAGGAGAGATCAAAGAGGAAGGACTCTCTCTCTGATTTTGATAAACGAATTCCGAGCTTTTTTATGGGGAATGTTTCACAGAAACAAGGTTGCTGGGTCAAACGGCGTAGTTTGGTTGTTAAATGTAATCAAAACGGCGTTGTTTTATGAGGTGTGAGGTAAAATTTAACTAAAATATTATATAGTGATATTATGTACCATTGATGACATAATATCATAGTTGTATTGAATATTCACTCGTACAATGAATAATAACGGTAATACTACGTTAGGAGTGATACATTACTAATTAATAATATTATATTATATATGTAGTGATTTATCAAAAAATAATAATATTATATGTGTGATGAATCCCATTATTTTAACAAGTTATAATAACAAATTTAGAATAATGAATTTTTTTTTATCAGAGACAAATTACAACATTTCTTCTTAAAAATAGAAATGCTATAATCGTGATTATAACCCCCACACACACACCCAAAGGCTCCGATGAGGGATAGCCCCAGCCTATCATCACCCACGTCCAAAGACCTTCCCGCCTAAATGGAATAATGAAGTTCATTTATCTTATATAGTGTATTATTATTAGTTTGTGATACCATTTGTCATTAGAATGTTAAAATATGATACAACCCTTCTAACACGATACCACATATGATACAAAATTAGAGAATTTTGTGTCTTCCTTAAACCACCTGCTTTGTAAACGATTGGATTCTACATAACATATTTTTAATTATACATGATTAATCATACACGATTCGAAATGAACAGTTGTTAAAAACAAATTCGGTTTAAGTACAGTGTTTTTAGACATAAACACCCGTAGTTGCCGATTTATTTGCAATAAATACAATAATTTTACTCACTTTTTTTTTGTCACCACTCAAAATCTATTTCACTTTGATAGTTTTTAGTTTTAGCGTGTCCACACAATAATCCAAGTTCAACTGTAATGTTGTCAAGCCTCACATGAGAACATGCGTCGAGGTGCATGGTTGTAAATCTTTGTAGGTGGTTTAGATTGGAAGATGAGCTTGCAGTAGTAGGAGGTTACACAAAGAAAGTTTAAGTAGCAAAGTGAGTTTGATAGGCATAATACAAGCAAAATTATTCAGCTTCATCTATTAAATAAATAGTTTAGAGTCCAAAATATTTAATAGAGACGATGGTGGATATACCGTAATCCCATTTAATGATCTCAAAGAAATAAATTAGGACATAATCCACCTAAGTATCAACTGTTAAATTACAGTCTTTTTTAGATTATTAGAGATGTTTCCCATGCAATACACGAAATTCGCACCGATCGTTCTCTTTTCCTCCCTCTTCTTTTTTTTTTTTTCCCTCTCTCATAGCATCCGTTACGCGTTGAAGCTAATTTCAACAAGCACAAACATGATCTACATGAAGGTGTGGATAAGGTAATCCCTTCTTATGATGTCGACGCCTTAAATTAGGTCGGCATCCTCCTTTTAAGAAGAATCATTGCATGGGTAACGTAGACTCCTACATGGCTCACTTCAACTTAACTCAACAAAATGATTTTCTTTCGTCAATACCCTAATTCTGATAAAATTTAGGCCCGTTGAAAGTTTAGGTAACGATTTAAAACAAAGGTATTTAAGAAGTTTACCTAAATACAAAAACTGCCCCCACAGAGTCAACCAAATACAAACAAACAATAAAACATACACAAAGACAAAGAGTCATATGATAACCCACTTAATTCACCGGATGATTTCTGAAAACAAACCAAATGACTTCATACTTGAAATCTGGAATTAGTTCTTCTTCAAGAAACCTTCAGCCATCTTGATATAGTCTCCATACCCACTTGCAGAATGGCCGTCCCCACCTGAATGTGAGGAAGTATGTCCGGTGGTATTAGTGGTGGTTGAGTGGTGGCCAGAACTGGTGGTAGAATGGTACTGGTATAGATAATTCTCTGCCTTTTGAACATACTTGCCAAAACTCTTTTCCTCTAGCTTTCCATAACTCGAGGCAGCATTAAGGAGGTCAGCGGCGGCGCCAGCTACCTTGGACTTGTCAACCTTGTCGGATTCATGGCTGAGGGTGGCTTTGGCTGCTTCAGCCACCAGTTTGGCACTGGACATCAGCTCAGAGGTTGATGGTTTGTGGTGGTTGTTCTGGTGGTGGGTGGCGGTGGTCTTGCCATGAAAATTAGAGTCCATGGTGGTTTGGGGTGGTGTAGAAATGGAGATCTGAAAGGGAGGTTTTGGGAAGGAAGAGGGATTGAAAGGAGGAATCGAATGGCTTTTTCAGAGTTGTTTGGTAGAGAGTTGACGGATTACTGGTTGGTTTCCCGGTTTTACCCTTCGGGCAAATCTTATTTTACACCTCAAAAGATATTTCGATTCTTAATTTATATCCTCAAATATTAAAAATTTTAATTTATATCTTCAATGTTATAAATTGATAGCAACGTAGACATCGTTCAGACTGTCACTCCATTTTCTTTCATAAATTGAAGCACATAAATTACAAGTGCTTTAGACATGAGAATGAGGTGCGTCTATCATTACAAATCTTCATCTGAGGTCAATTTCACATCGTTTTATGTATCATTATAGAGAAAAGTCTTGAACTCGTTAGGGGAACAAGCTACCCAATTTACAGCAAACGAATCAGTCAACGCTGTAGCTGTCACCTAATGAACAGTCCTACTAGACGCTCTTGACTTGTAAAAAAAACCTTGACAAAGATGGTGAGGAAAAAATCTGATATTTTCCACTAGAGCACCGATTTCGTAAGGGGGGTCATCCTCAGTGGAGGAGAGCTTAATGACTTCTTGGCAGTCACTCTCGAGTGTAGCATGGGTTGACTGTGCTGCATCCGTTAGTAGGCTGGCTTCCCGCACCAGGCCAACCGTCTCCCCCTAACAGTTATCTTGGAACTCGACGTTACTCTGATATCAATTACTGAATCGAAACATTTATTGTTACACCAAAAATTTATAGTTATTATTGAAGACACAAATTTTTTCTTTTAACTACCTCAATAACAACCACCCGCGAATCGAATTGGTTAAATCTTTTAACCAAGTCTTAAAGAAAACTTGTTTTACCTCCATCCAGACCCACAATCAATTGGTGGGCAAAAAGAATTCACTAATAAAAAAAGGAAACTAGCATGCATACATATACGTATGGAATTGGAATATGCCATTGACAAGATAAGATCCACCTTATGAGAGAAGATATAGATGAGGAACTTGAGTGTGGAACCCCCTCATCATTGATTTTGAATTATCAAACATCTTTGACAGATATGATATTATAGTGATGCCCTAATGGCCAACCACATGCTGTGGGACATTGATTGTGGTTTGGAACATGTACATACCCTTTGAAAAAGAAAAATCTCTTAAAATCTCAAACCAACCAAGTGGTCAAGTGGGTGAGAAATCTCTCTCTTCATTTATTTGGTTGTATCATTGCAGAAAAGGACATCACAGCAACAAAAATCAGGTAATAAATCATAACTGATCAAGTCATCAACTGTTTGCATAGTTGAATCTTGAATCTCATAGATGAGATTGAATCTTGTATCTCATCTAATAAGTGAAAGTTACTTGAGAATTCTGAATAATTTTTTTTTGGTATCCTCGTAAATGCCATAGTTTAGACATAAATAATTTATATTTAATCAAACTTGAAAAAAATTTAGTTGAACTGTGTCCGAACATTTCTGACAGTAAAACCAAAAAATAAAGCCACTTGGAGCCAGAAGGGAGTCATGGGACCTTATCCTATTTTTGAGGTCAAATCAAAGAAATCTTGAAGAAAATTAGATTAGTAATTAGTTTCTTTAGATAGAGGAAAGGGTGACAACATTACTTGATGCCATAACCATCAGGGGGTGAAATTAGGCTAACTTCAAAGGGGAAACAACCATCTCCATCCCTCAATCTCCATTGATTGGTTTTGTCAACCGAAATATAAATAAAATAAACAGTGAAATATAAATTCATACATCTTATAATCAAGTTTGCGTGTGTGAGAGAGAGAGTTTCCCCGGAGCAGGAGATCTTCTGACCTTAAAATCTAATAACGAGAACGGTCTACACAAACACAAATATACAAACATTATTTCAAAGTCCTTGAGAGTTAATTATATTACAATGCTAAATTAGGAAAAGATACAGTTGGGACATAGGAACATAAATGTTCACTGTTCTTAGGTTAACCCACACATCCACACTAGAACAATAAAAATGTTCAAAAAGTCCAAACAAAGACTTCACACCAAAAGATGATTACATGAAACAACAAAGGGAAAGACAAGCATAGAACTAGTAGTAGTACTACTAAAAGGACTTTGGATAAAGCACATAATGGATAGCCTACTTGAAGAAACCTTCAGCCATCTTGACATAGTTGCCATACCCACCTCCGGATTTATCACCACCATCCTCCTCCAACTTAGAAGTCTTATCGGCGGCGTCGGTGGTGGTGGTTGGCGGTTTAGAACCGGGTTTCAAGAAACCTTCAGCCATCTTGACATAGTCCCCATACCCACCTCCAGATTTATCACCACTATCCTCCTTCGACTTAGAAGGCTTGTCGGCAGAGTCGGAGGTGGTGGTGGTTGGCGGTTCAGAACCGGGTTTGAATAAACCTTCAGCCATCTTGACATAGCCCCCATACCCACCTCCAGATTTATCACCACCATCCTCCTCCGACTTAGAAGTCTTGTCGGCAGCGTCGGTGGTGGTGGTGGTGGTGGTGGTGGTGGTTGGCAGTTTAGAACCGGGTTTGGTGGTGGTGGGATTGGAAGACTCGTACTGGTGCAGATAACTGTTAGCCTTCTCAACATACCCACCGAAAGCCTTGTCCTCAAACTTACCGTAGCGTGAGGCAGCGTCGAGTATGTCAGAGGCTGCTCCGGCTACTTTGGACTTGTCAACCTTGTCATATCCGTCGCTTAAGCTGGTTTGCGCCGCCTCAGCCAACAGCTTAGCACTGGAGAAGAGATCAGAGGAAGAGGGTATGGGGTGCTCCTTCTTGTTCTGAGAATCTGAATCCATGGATGGTGATATAATTGAGATCAAAAGAAGGATTTTGGGAAGAAAATGGAATTATCACAGAATTGGAGCTGCTTTTAGATGAGTTTTGCTATCAGCAGTGGATATATATATATATATATATAGGTGGGTCATGGGTGGTTAGATTTTCATGAAGCTGCAGCTCTTCTTTTCAGTGTTCTCTGCGTGTTGGCATGTGGACCACTTGTTTTGTGTGGGTTGCCGACAGTCCACTTGTGATTTATCTTTCCCGACTGTGAGCTGTGGGGGCCGGTTTTCGCGTATTCCAACTCTTTTAATCCGATAAAAGTAAGTCATCTACTTTATAAATACAAAATTCATTAAAAATAAATTTCAACTAATGTTGTGCTCCCTAAATTTTTTTAACAATTTTTTATTTCACCATTAAATAAATAAGTCTCGTTAATATTGGTGATAGAAATTGTGTCACATCATTTGAATCGAAAGATTTACTAAGAAAAGTCGATAAATATAGTATTACTCGTAACTTTCTTATGATTTAACGCCAAAATTCACTTTTGATTTGAGAAAGAAAAATGCGGATCTAATTTCGGACCAAGACTTAATTCAATGTCCTTGGTTAGTTATGAATTTTAGTTTTAGAAAGGGGTTCACTTTTCAGTTTTAGTCTAATAATTATATTAAATTAAATTACAAATTAAATTTTAAAAGTACTTTTTTTTTAGAAAGGGGACATACGAGATAGAATTTTTAAATTTAGATACTATGGGTTTACTATTGTTTGAGATTCATTATTAATTTAATACTTATGATATATTAAGTCAATAAATTAAGTTTGAATAATATTTTTTTAAACAATTTTTTGTTATTATTAATTAAGATTAATGATTAAATATAAGTCCATCCAACGAGGCTCACAACAACCAACTGGTCCAATGAAATTAGATGACACCCTTGAGAACCAACTAATCCAAAGAAAGTTGGACACATTATAATAAATCCCATTGAAGTTTCATAAAGAATATTCCATCACTAAGATTTTTGATGTAATATTATTTGGATCTAATTTATTGATTTAATCTGTTGAATTAATTTTCCTTGATTCTTATACTTCAACTAATATCATGGTTCGATGCTCATTTTCGTTATATATTTTCCTCCAGAGTTCCACCGAAGTTATGAATAGCTTCACTCACCACAATGAATTTTCTAAATTCTTTATGCAATGCTCTCTACTAAGATCCTTGGAACGCACATTTCTTCAAAGTGGATTTTGTTGAACTCTATGCTAGATCTTTTTTTTCAACGTGTGAAGCTGAATTGAAGAATCAAGATGAATAACTTTTTGAGGATTTGAGGATTTAGGGTTATTATAAGGTCTCTAAAGGTTTTGGAGGCAAAAAATAGACTCACAATAACGATTTGAATTGTTACCCTAACTTGAGAAGACTTACCTTTTTTATATAAGTCAAGAATTAGGTTCTTCTTGGGGGTTAAATACAAATTCGTAACACAATCGCTTAAGTCATTAGAGGATGATTGTCATTGAAATGAAAAAAATAGTTTAAATCATATCTGAGGAGTAGAGACTACTCGAGCGTCCAGAGGACAGTCTCAACTGTCCAACTCGTCAACCTTACTTGACTTTATTCCTAAGTAATCATTGACCACTTCTAACCGAAACCAAACGAGTGGAGGACAGTCCCTACTAATTTTTAAGCTGCAAACCTAACAAAATATTGGTCTACTGAGCTCTAAAAGGTGTTACTTAAATAGAGTATGATACATTCTATATTTTCAGAACACATTTAAGATTTAGAAAATCTTTTTCTTGAAAAACTTAAGAGTTATTCACGGATATTCCTAATTCCAATTCTATTATCCTAATTAACTTAAATCTATAAATAAACCAATGGTTCTTAGGTATTCAAGTTATTACTTTTGTCATAAACTTGAAGGTGCATTAGATATCTCTTCTTGATTTTGCTTTATGCTTAGAGCTTTGTTCTTCCTTAAAGCTTTCGAAACTTAATATTTGAAACATCATGACCAAGTAATTAGATTGAGAGATTTATATTAAGACTTCACAAAATTAACCAATTACCTAAAAGTACCAATATTATCAATTGCCACATATAAATTCATAAGGGAGGTAAAAAAATACTCGGGTAATTACACAAGACCCCCATATATTTTCATGCATTCAATTTGGAGATTCTAGTATTCGACCAATTAGAATCCAATCTGAATTATATATACATGCATAAATAACTGGTTCAAGAATACCCCGTTATTTATATTACATCAAATTTTAACCTATTTGAATACGAACCAAAATAAAATTTGTTGAATATTTAAATTAATAGAAATTTGATCCGTCGATCTATATACGATAATGTGAACAACTTTGTTTCAATTTATATTTGCAACATTTGAAACCCTTCTAGGGTTAGTTTGGATAGATTTTTGGGGGAGGGTTTGGATTGACTTTTACAAAACCTTCCAAACTCAAACCCCTCTTTATAAAGAAGAGATTCAACATTGAATATGGTTCATAACTATGTTTGGTATACAACACATACACATGTAGGACTCACATATATATCATAATTATTAACAATTATTTGTCTTGTAAATGACTATTTTATATTTGATCAATCTAATTAATGCTTATGTTAAACGGTACAATTGTCTTTTGTATCCTTAACCTATCTTTGCAAACTCACCTTCTCTTAGGTTTGACGAAACTCGTGATCATGGGTTTAGTATTCGGGTCAACTATGGGTTGGGTTTGAAAATTCAAGATTGAATTTTCAATTCAAACATGAGATTTGGGAGTCCTTTGGACTATTTTCCCCAAACTCATCTTGCCGAGCCCCCTATACCCCCCTTACCAAACAGCCACCAAAGAAATACATATTGTGAGTGGATAACTGCTGTTCTTATGCATTTCTAACTCAAATGAATGGGCATTACTTTCTTTATGCACTTTATAACCTAAACTCAAAATGCCTATGATCATTTACAAGTTATGTATACCGGATCAATTAAGAAATTTATTGCAAACACATAAATTAAAAATATTGAATATAACAATTACACGACATCATCACTAACCAATAATAAACAAACAAATAAAACAATTGAACCCCGTTAATCTCACATAGTAGTTATTGAAGATGAAAAATTAATGGTGGTTATATAATTTAGTAGAATCTACTAGTCATATATATTTATTCATATTTGGTTGGGAACATCATATGACGGTAATGACGTGGTGTCACTATTATATTAAATATTTTATTTATTTATTTTTTTTGGAAAATACTATTTGGAAGGGACTTAATCAATTATGACTATTGGATTAAAGGTGGACTACATTTAATATAAAAACTTACAATTATTTCAATAAACTATATTGATTTTAACCCCCAGGCCTCTAAATTAAGTTCTTATATCATTTTTCTTGGTATTGTCTATTTCTTTTGATTAGGTACTATTACAGGGGAAGATGATATTTTTTTTTATTCAACGATCAAGGGTGTTCGGATTAGCATACGAGTACCTCGACTAATCTTATCTTCGGTTCGGTCAAAGATAGAATTTCCATGCTGGGACTAGGATATTCATTAGAGATAAATCTCTCATGCTCCGATCTCAAAGGGATTATCAAAATTCGAATATAGAACGTCTGAATTTATAGTTCGTCACTGTTATCACTTAAGCTATCCTTAAAATTATTAGGGAAAGACGATATTTGAACTTGAGATCTTATGGGGTGTTTGAATCAAAGGATTCGAGGGGATTACAAGGGGATTTGGGATAAAATTGTGAATGAGCCCACATATCCATGCTTTGGTAAGTTTTTGGGATGGGATATTTATGGTTATTGGAAAACACGGCCATAGCTTTTGAAGGCTTTAATCCCCTCTCAGCTAGATTGATGCAACTCATGTGAAGTGTGGGATTGTGGAGTGAAAAGGTAGGATTAATTGAGAAATAACTAAAATACCGTCCACAATAACTATTTTAGGGTTTCTTATATACATTTCACTTCACATTCCCACCAGTCCCTCCTTTCCTTGAACGCGCGCAAGCCTAATCTACCAATACTCTGGTTTGCTTCTTTCCCTCTCTTTATGGTTGGAAATTTTGTGTAATGGGGAACACTTGATGTAAACACAAATTGGGGAAGCTAGAACCACTTCATTTGATACTGCATTATTGACCGTCTTCTCTCTCTCCCTCTCCTTTTTTCGTCTGTTACTAATGTTTGGTGTTTTGAAGTCTTCATGAAAAATATATATCATGAAAGTAACAGATCTACTTCGATGACATTAGCTTTGCTCTGTCTCTCGAGCAGATTTACTATCTCTCTCCCTGGACGTTACAGATCTACTAAAGTTGGTTTGCTCTCTCTCTTCGATAACCCAAAAAAGATTAAATTCTTTTATAAAATGTGCAATGGTCATTTCACCATTTTCCATCTACATATGTGAATGGGGTCTACAAAACAAATATTCTCCATTCAAAAATGGGATAGGATGATATTTAATTCATAAGGACTCACATAACCCAAACTACTTTGCATTAAATTAAATTGGATTCGGATTGAAATCCAATCAAACCGGATCCTTCTTTGGCTGTCCAAACACCCCTTAAGGTACAATAGTGAATGGAGACCATGAATAGGTTTCAGGAGGAATTAAGAAGGAAAGAAAGGGGTAGTTGTGGCAACACGAGTCAAAACCACACAAAAAGACAAAACCGAAACCAGAAAATAATTAAAATTCAATTACGTTCACATATCCAAGTCCGGCCTAGTTGGGAGTTTCACGTTCCGCCAAGCTCACCAGCTCCTGCAAATTAATTATCGTCGCCGTCGTCGTCCTCTCTCTCTCCCCCCCCCACCCCACAAAATTATTTCTCGTTGTTCCCCAAATTTCACATCGATTCGCTGGTAAATTTCTCTCTCTCTCTCTCTCTCAATGAATATATTTTTTTTTCTGCAAGTATTTCTATATATAGGAAAAGTGAGGGGGATTCTTTGGATGAAACTTATGATCATATGGTTACACAAATTTGGGTTCATTGTGTTGTGATGGGTAGTTTTTTGTTTTTTGGAATTTTCTTGTTTCAGGGATGTTGGATTCGATTAGGTGGAAATTCTTGTGAGGCTGTTGAAATTGCAGTATGTTCTTGAGATTTCGGATACGTTAAGGGGAAAAAGAAATATCAGTGGTTGTAGGGCAAATAGGGGCGGTGAAGATTTGATTGAGTGCTGCGAAAATGTATCGGTCTGTGGCAGCGACCACTACTCGTGGAGGGCCACCGACGGATAGTGGAGATCCTGTTGTGACACTTGATCAAGTTCCGCGGTGGGGTGATTCTGAGCATAGGTATTCCTATGAGAATGAAGACTTGGCCTTTCCAAATTCATACTTTCCCGACCCTTTAATGTCTTCTTCTGAGGCAGAGAGTAGTGGGAATGGGACGGTTTCAAGGTTTCCTGTTGATCATGAAATCAACTTGAAGATATATCTATGGAGAGGGCAACCATGGAACCTTGAGGTAGATGCTGTTGTTAACTCAACAAATGAGGTGAGCACTAAATTCTTTCTGAATGATAAATTTGTCGGTTGAAATGCACTTAATGCTGATGATACTTTCCGCAAACTGACATCTTTTCATTGGCCTCTTTTGCATGTGTTTCTCACATATGCATGGTTTTGTATATTTATGCCGAGAGGGAAATGATTCAAATGCTTGCTTACAAATGGCACACGTGGGCTTAGATAGTGAATATGGATATTGGAGAGAGACATTGATGCATTGATTTTAGACTTGATTTCACTGGCTTCGTAATATTACATGGTGCGTAAAATTCAGAGCTGTAATTTTTTGTTCCAGATTTGGAATCTTGAATAGCTCTTCTTCACCATTGAGGACTAATTACTGTAAAATTTCTCTTTTCTTAGAAAGTTGAAATCAAGTTCTGTTTAGCTACCTGGATATGAGAGTTTGGGCCCTTAAGTTAAAATTGGTCTCATGAATTTCCTCTCTTTTCAGTTCTTATTAATTCCAATTTTACAATTAAATCTTGAAGTGGATTTAGTAGTGGCTCCAATTATCTGAAATGAGGAACTCCATTGCTTTTATTGTAGTTCCATGTGAACCCAAGTTAACTGTGATCAGTTGGTTGTTTTCAACCAAAATTGCCTACAGGGAAGTAGCCCCTTTCATTATGTTTGTCCCTTTTTGGTTCCCACCCAATCTCTGTGTTGTGTGTACAATCTTCCTTTGAAAATTATGTGCTCCTTCCCATTAATTACCTACATTTCATTCCAATAATATTCATAAGTTTGTATGGTTCTAAATCGCATACTATTCAGTTAAGTCCACCACAGGGAACATGCATTGTAGGGCCAATTCTTTTTATTCCATCCAAGCAGATGCTTGAGCATCCTTTTTATCCATCTGCAACTTTAAGCATTTCCAGCTTGGGTCACTGACAAGGTGACCTGCTGTCATCTGATTGTTATCTCCTACCGGGTGTTTGACAGAACTTGGACGAGGCACACAGTACCCCTGGTTTGCATGCTGCTGCTGGACCTGGTCTTGCAGAAGAATGTGCCACTCTGGTAAGCTGTTTGAATATCAGAATACGCACTATGATGTATTCCAAGTTTCCAACATTACCCCACTATTTTCTGATAAAAAATTGATGAAGTCACTTTGATGGAAGTAATTAACTTTTGAAACAATAGAGTTTTGTTGTTAATTTGTTTCTTTTCAGGGTGGCTGCCGAACAGGGATGGCAAAAGTTACTAATGCATATGACCTTCCTGCAAGGTGGGTATGGTGATAGTTTTGTTTAATAGTTAGCATTGACAATCCTTCTTTGTTCCATAACACTGATATGCTGAGACTGAAGAAATATAGAACTGTTTTATCTAGAATTGATGCTGTGCCCCTACCCAGGTGCCTAGGAAACTGTTGTTGTCATTAAAGCATTATTTTCTTAACCTTCAAAGCATCTCTCTGTTATCCACAAAAGTATTCGATATCACATTTGAGTGATTTTTAGATATAGAAGCTTATTTATGCCCCTTTTGTGTCCTTATATGTTACTAGGAATTTGGAGAAACAATATTAACATAATTACTTCAGATTAAGATTGCAATTGTATAGTTGTTTTCTAATTTATTCTGCATGCTCCATGTTGCTTTAAATTTTCATAAATGAGAGGGGTACACATGCCATTTTTTATGGTGCATTGCTGGTTGCTTGTTCACAAAAGTAACCAACATTGTATACTGGGTCAATGTTTGCACCCTGTCGCACACTGTTTTTGTCTGTATAAGGTATAAGGTCACGGATATTGATATTACAATATAGTTGAAACTTTAGGTGCACCAGCCTCCATATCACTGTATGTATTATAACACCAGTTTGGAAAATGTGAGCCATTTAAGCTGGACATAACTTTCATGGTCTAAATTTTATTTCTGGTGTAGGTTGCTTAGTATCCTTGATCTTTTACGCTTTATATAGATTTTTATGTGAAATTATTGTATATTTTTGTTTTGGGTATATACTTCAATTGCTTAATTTGAGTTGTTAGGTCTTGGCTTACTACCAAATGACATTTTGTAATCTTTGTGTAGAAGGGTCATACATATTGTTGGTCCCAAGTTATTGGCTTACAACTGAATGACATTTCCTAATCTTTGTGTAGGAGGGTCATACACACTGTTGGTCCCAAGTATGCAGTGAAATATCATACTGCTGCCGAGAATGCTCTGAGTCATTGCTATCGGTCTTGCCTTGAACTCCTTATTGAAAGTGGACTCCAAAGGTTGTTTGGCATCCAGATGCTGTAGTCATATATTTATCCATGCTCTCTTCATCAAGTTTAATTTGTTTAAAACTGGAAATTACCATCTTGTAACACGTGTTACTGCAGTATTGCTATGGGCTGTATATACACAGAGGCAAAAAATTATCCACGCGAACCAGCTGCTCATGTGGCAATAAGTGAGATTTTCCTATACGATGTTATGAATCTTGCTTGATTTTGTCACTTTTTCAAGTGAATGATATGCTACTTTAAATTACAATCACACCATGGGCATATGTGAATTCGTTACCTATATCTTTGGATACTATAAAACTTTATAATTCATGCATATTTATGGGTATATCCATACAAATGGATGTTTTTGTGTTACTTCATGTATATGTATTTTTTTTGTTTTCTTTTGCGGTTTGTGTTTTTTTGTGTGTGTGTGTGGGGAGGGGGGAGTATTTCTTATTTTATCCCCTCAAATTCATTTTTATGTGTTTTTGACCAGGAACTGTTAGACGATTTCTTGAGAAACAGAAAGATAGAATTAATGCCGTTGTTTTTTGCACAACATCATCACCTGATACTGAGATATATAAAAGGTATATCGTTGGTCCTCCATGTGAGCTGATACAACACCTTTGTCTAGACGGATCTCAATCGTATTTATGATTGACTAATGTATATTTTAATTTCTTTGGATGTTTATTCTAGTACCATTTTACAATGTAGATTGCTTCCGCTCTATTTTCCTCGCGATAAACATGAGGAGGAGGTGGCCATTTCGAAACTACCTGCAGATGTTGGGGATGAAAATGGTGAGACAATTATTGATGAACGTAAAATCAGAATAAAACCTTTGCCCAATGTGAAGAACACTGTTCCTAGATCTCCCCAAGTCTCTTTTGATCTTCCTGTCAGTGACGTTGGGTTGGCAAGACGGTTAGTGATCTTTCGAACTCATTTTGTATTTAACCAGATGTATTAGTTACCTAAAAAAACAGATTTTTATGTTTCTTGTGTGAGTACATGCGAGAACAGTGGGCTGTGCTGAAGCTGAATCTGTGTTTGTCCATCACAAAAATGGTTCTCAGCCCTATCTGTCAATTTACAACTAGAGTACTTTGGTACAATATACATAATATTTTGCTGGCAGGCTTCTGGTGTAATGCTTGGGTGTGCTCTAAGATGAAACAAGGATGGTAAAAACATGTATTTAGGTGGTGAGGAAATTTATATCACCTGTGATCTACAGCATGGGACATAGTTAGAGCCAAATGGTGGACAATAATCTTGTGCAGCTCAGTTCATGGTTTGATAATTCAGTTATTTTGTGGACCTAGTTCAGTCACTTGTGTAATTATGCAGTAATGTTGAGTTGGCAATGAATGGAAATAATTGAGCCAATCACTTGCAAAAAGACTGTGAGATCATCAGTGAGAAGTCAGAGCATTGGTTTATGAAGTCCCAAGAAAGGAAATTTCATTTGACAAATGAAAAAGATTCTGTAACTGGTTCACCAAGAAGAGCTTCTTCATGGTATTTGAATAAACTGTGTGTCTGTACTTGTATGTTTAATTCCAAAGGAATTGAAACTAATAGTTGGGTTTGTGTCATTCTATGTTGTACTAGTTTGGGCAGCAATATAGATTTTTGCTTAAGCTTCAAACTTTTGTTCTTTCTCTGTATGATTGTAATATATCTTAATAAGTAGAATGATGTCAGAATTTTCCTTGTTATGTGACACATTGTATGTGCAAGGACTGATCTGTTCTTTGATGGAAGATGAAACAGCTTGCCACTTTATGGCTTTGAGGGATCTATATTGATATCTTCTCCTGACTGATCTGTTTCTGTGCTAGTTGGATAGATTGTATAAAAGCATGTTTGATTCTCAAATTTGCCACAAGTTTTTCCTCTGTTGGGCCAAGTGTCAGATCTTTTGGGAAAGAAAAGGATACCAGGATGATACTTAATTGGCATGCAAACTTTCCGTAAGGACTGATTTTTTTGCTTTTTGGTGACAAGTGACTGATTAGATGGCATGTAACGTTGGCTTGTTTGTGTGGGCAAAAGCACCCTGTGGGGAGAAATGAAAATTTCTGTTCTTGATAAATTCATCTTTTGAAAAATGTTACTTCCATATATTTCCATTGGGAGGGTTTACTCTTTCATCATGCTTTTGCAAGAAAAATTGTATGCCACCTAGGCCATATGATATCCAGCATCAAAGCTATATGATCTACATCACCATATGCCTTGGTGGTTAGAATGATCTTCTGGTTGGAAAAGAAAAATAAGGGGCTGAGGTACTGGCAATATATAATTGGAAAGTCTCAACTTTGTTCTTTTGTGGTCAATCCTGAGTTCAGTGTTTCAAGCTATAACCAAAGACCCAGAGTTTGTGCCTGTGCATTGGCATTGCAAGCTCAGACAGCAACTGCAAATCTGTTGCAATAGGTCCCTGAGTAATTTTGTACTTGAGAGCCCAGTAATCATTTATCTGGCTTCAGAATTGTGTGGTAATTCAACAGGGTTCTTCCTTTTTTGTCCCCAATGTTTACAGTTCATATGGTATTTTTGGACTAATATAGTGGGGCTAAAACTGAAGCAACTCTTGCATGCTGAGGCAAGAACAATGCTGCTGAAATTACCAACTGAAAACTTCCTTCTTACTCACCGCATCTTTTGCGCGGTTGTGTTTTCTTGATTTTTCATGTTTTTACTCCTTTTGTCAATTGGTACAGCTTTGGCACAGGCATTGGGCTGTCTTCATTATATGTGTAAATTTTGGGTCCTCTATGTTAGTAATTGTCTTACCGTTTTGGACTGTTCTCTTAACAGGAGCTCGTCATATTTGGATTCATATTTGGATCCTGCTTTTATGTCCCTAATTAAGGATCCAGATCAGCGACGACAGGAAACAATTGGGAAAAAGACGGGCTCAAGCACAAAGTGGCTGGAA